TTTTCTGTATAGGTTTTGATTTGCTCCCAATGGCTAATCTGGTCAGCAACACCAGAGACCATGACATGCGCTAGGCTAATGAACATTGAACTGAGCTCCAGAGCAGAGCAACTGGGGAACATAACTGAGTTTTAGTACCAAACAGTTGAGTCGTCTTGACATAGCTTATCTGTCAGTTTGAGGCTTCTAGTTCCAAAGATGAAAGGAATTTCTTTTTTTTTTTTTGCCTTTTTTTTTTGCTTTTCATTTTTCTCTAGAAATGCATGAAAAATTTTCTAGATTGCTAGCTAGAAAATTCAATGTTAACCTGAGATGAATATAAGGTATTAAGGTAGGAAAGCGTCTTTAGTATTGATATACGCATCAGAAATCTAACTTTATTGCCGGCAGCTAGAAAAAAAAGTCTGACTTTTGTCATTCTATCAGGGTACTGTCTCTGTATACTGTTTGTTACATTACTTTGTGTATTTCTTTAGAAATGTGAAGCTCTGTTCATCTTTCCCTTCTGGAAAGGAGAAAGATCTTTTGTCTCCACTTCCTTTTTTCCTTTCAGGTAGCTATGATAGCTGTTCTAAACTTTGTTTTACCTGCCTCCAAATCTTTTGTCAAACGTTTCCTGGCTGTGTGTGTTCCTATCTGCTTTTGTTTGTAACTTTTTTCAGAATTCTTCATACTGCTGTCCAAATAATTGAGAAAAGGTGTCTGTATTTCTATGACATGTTTATCTTTTGGAGGCTACATAAACCTCTGAGTCTCCAAATACTGTCCCATAGCTAAAAACTCATTAACATGTCCAGAGCTGTTTATTAGGAATTAATTTTCAATTTTCCTCTGGTTTTTGTAAGCAGTAAGCATAATCAAAAGTCTTGCTGACAGTAAAGTGTAATTTATTTATTTTAACATAAATCTTATGTGGTTTCTGCAGTGTATTGATCTAAAACCAGGGGAATTCAGCTGCCTCTCTGATGTCTTGAGTAAATACACTCTTAACACCAGTGTAGCAGCAACAGGTACTAAATCTGTTTTGAGGTAACAAAGATGATCTGTGTTGCAGACTGAATAGCCTGAGACTGTGAATCTGTCGCAGCTACTTACATGTGCATCGTTATATATAATGGGGAGAAAAGCACCATAATCTATTAACGAAGTTATTGAAAAAGTAATTCTTGCCTCTTTTTGTCTGTTAAACCTATTCTTGCTGTTATTCCCTAAAAAACTGATGCATTTTTAGGAGATAGATATGTTTAATTTTGACAGTTTGGATTTTGTATGCTGTAGAGTGTTCATACTTTTTTTTATTTTTTATTTAAGTGTAATTTCAACCTCTTATTTCAGTGCTCTGTTACCAGTGACATAGATTTTCCAAAACAAGTCATCCCACTAAAGACACTCAATGCTGTTGCTTCTGTGCCTATAATGTATTCCTGGTCTCCTCTTCAACAGAATTTTATGGTAAGTTTAAAAAAAATGATGGGAAAAGAAATATTTGGTGAAAAAGGAGCATTTTAATTTTAGAACTAAAAAGCCAGTAAATCTGTTGCCAGTTACACCTTTGTATCGTTTTGATGTCAATAATGACTCATTTCCCCCAAATCAGATAATTATTACTTAAATTACAAACTCAACCTCTGATGTCATTGAATCTCAGCATCTTGAAAACCCTGCTGTAAAGAGAGAGTTCTATTTAATTCAGATGATTGCTGGACTGTATAGCATTTAACAAATGCAGATTTATTTTAGAGAGCTTATATAATTAGTGTAATGAGAAATGTTTTCTGAGGGATATTAATATGTCTATGTAAGAAAGACAACTGACCAATGTACCTTGAGCAGAACAATTATTCTTACGGAATAAAGAAAACTTACTCATGAGATAGTGACCATAAATAACGGTGATCTTATATAGCCACTGGGGTATAGCTTGTCCTTCTGATTAGTTTCACTGTATGTACAAGCCCTAAAGATAGATTTCTGATATAGGTATTTGATTTATTTGAAAAGCTTAGCTTATAACAAAGTTCTATCATGGCGTTTTGTATAGGATGGCCTTTGCTGACATGGTTATGATAGTAATAATCTTAGCAAGGAGATTCAAAACAAATGATTTTATCAGTACATGTAAAACACTTCTTCCATATCTTTTAATACTTATTTTCAATTCGTCAGTGTTTGGATGTTTTGCACTACTGTAGATTCAGCAGCAGGAAAGTGTGGGGGTTTTTTGTTTTTTTGTTTTTTTTTTTTAAACAGTTGGAGATTCTTTTGAAATATTGGAAAATAAAACTAAATTTCAAGGTCCATAAATTCTACTGATAGGATACTGGAGTATTAGACATTTAGTCTATGTACAGACAAAGCAAAATGGCAAAGGAGTTCAGATTAAGTAGTTTGTGGCATGTTTCTATGCTTGCTGTTTAGACTATTTGAATTTAGTATCCTTTTGTGTATGATTTTTGTAGCATATTTTCACATCTCTAGCAAAAGAATGAAAAAGTGGTTTCTATCACGTGTTACAGTGGAAGAGAAGCAAGGAAGGGGGAAAGAACTTATTAGATGAACCCTTCCCAAGGCTTGGGAGCTTATTGTGTTTCAGTAGTAGAGGTTTTACACAAACACCTTCTTCACGTTAGGAGCTAGTGTCAGTATCTTGAGCTAGTCACTGCTAGTGCAACGGGGATTGTTTTATTTATTTATTTAATTGTGATAATGTGCTATAGCAGTGAAGTCTGTTAAATGTGATAACTAGCCACTTGTAGATTGTGAAAATAGTAATGCTGAAATGGTCAAATGAAGACATATCTTACAAATTATTTGAGGAACGCTGCCCTGTCATAATTGTAATCATTGTACTAGGTAGAGGATGAAACTGTCTTACATAACATTCCGTATATGGGAGATGAAGTGCTTGACCAGGATGGTACCTTTATTGAAGAACTGATCAAGAACTATGATGGAAAAGTGCATGGAGACAGAGGTGAGCCCAAACACTCAGGTATACTAATCCCTTCTTTCTATATAAATAATTGCTATCAATTTTTTTTTCATAGGGCCTGATGCTCGTATGTTACAGTAGTATCTGTAGAGTCTCTATACTATGTAAACATTGGGTATAACAGTCTTCCTTATTTAAATATACTGCTTTGCATTTTCAAAAGGCTGTAAAGTGTTAAAGAAGTGGTATGGAGAAATTGAACATTTTTTTTTTCCCCCTGCCAAGAACGTACTGTGACTCATCATAATGGCTAAGTTCTACCTGGAGAAGTTCTTGGTCTTCAGTTTTATGTTCAGTGCTCTGGAATATAATAATGTCCCTGAATGCGTCCTGCCTAGCAGAAAGTGGCAGGAGAAGAACATGGAACTTTGATGACAACACTTACAAATGTAATTTGACAGAATAACCATTTGCATAGGTTTTTCCTTGCCTTTTTTATGGTGGAAATAATTTTTTTTTCACTGGTTATCACAGATGATTGGGTATTTAAAACTTCCTCCTCTTGAGACAGACCTGAGGAAAGCTGTACCCTTCTGTTCATGTATTGCAGTGTTTCACAGAGGTATTTTTCCTCTTATTTTGTGTAGGAATGGTACTACATGTGATAGCATCTGCCTCTTTGAATTTGCTAAGGTCTCTGGGAGTAAGCAACCCTTTAGTTGCATATTTCTTGCCCCCCCCCCACCTCCGCAACAAGTAGATCTGCTTGTTCTAAGTGCCCACTCAGAGCTGGCTCATACGAGCCTGAGTCTTACAGTTGGAAAGGTTTCTCTGACTAATCTGCTTTCCCTTTCACTATACTCTCTTTTTTCTTTCTTTCCTTTTTTTTTTTTTTTTTGAGTGCAGGTAATTGTTTCTTGCAAGTTCCTTATGGATTAAATTCCTGTTAATAGTGGAATGATGGAGAAAGGGGACTATGTTTTTGGGTACATTGTGTCCTGCTCGTGAAAGTTAAGGCTGTGATTCAATAGTAAATGCTACTCTCTGCCCTCTGTTAATCTTGTTATTAATGTCTTCAGGATAGCTGGTGCCTTTTTATGCAAGCTTTATACAAGCTCATGGATTTTTGCCTTTGATTGTTTTTAGATTTACTTGTCCTCTGACACCCAGAGAACTTGTTAGGTCAAGATAATGATTTATTAATAAATGTATTCTATTTTGATTTATTATTAAATGATTCTTGCTTTTTAATTAATCTTCTTTTAACTGTCCCAAGTTTATGATAGCAATGACTATTATGAGTCCATCATAACTATTTATCTAAAGTAGAAAGAGGTTTTTTGTTTTCCCAGTAACTAATATTCTTATGTAATTAAATGTAAATGCTGTGGGAATCTGTAATTCAGCAAAGCTTCCACATAGGAGGTAAAACTGTAAAATAGTTCTGTGACTGTGCTTTTGGGGAGGGAAATTCGTGCTAAACCTGTGTGTTCTGTTTAAAGATATTTACTATTTTATTTGAAACATTGTAATGAAATATGTGCCTGTTTCCGTTGTCTACAAAGTAATATATCTATTAGCTTGCTACAAGTTAGTCTGACACCCACCTCCACTCCAGGTTCAAAAGGATGGTGATAAGCACTAAATTCCCCACACAGTTCCCTGTTTTTTTTCTCCCCCCGCCCCGCCCTTTTTTTTAAAATAAATAATAGCAGTTGCTTTCTGTTAGCATTAACTATGATTTTCTTCCCTGCAGAAATGCCTTATGTCTGTCTGTGCTGCCCCCTGAATTTCACAGCAGAATCTGAGCTAATGAGCAGATATGCAGCATAGTATCCTTCAATTTTCTCTTGAATTTGTTGCATATAACTGAACTCTTATCACCTTGCCAGTGGGATCTGTAGTGGGGAAGTGGATAGCATAGAACTACCAGTGAAAAATCCATGTGAGGATTCCTTAGCTCTCCAAGAAGGTTAACTTTGTAGTATGTTTGCCTGCAATACCAGACTGGCTTAATCTGACCATATTGGAACTGGGATTCTAGCATAAAGTCTCTTAAATAGTCTGGCTAGTAAGTTTAGTCCCTTTTTCTTTCTTGTAGGGAAGAGAAAGGTTTATTTTTGCCTGTTAGTATGAAGAATGGAGAGTTAGGAACATAAAATCAGCTGGCTTCCTTCCCATTTATCAGTCTAAAAGCCAAATACTGAGTTTTGTTAAGTCAAGTTTATGGAGTATTAAAAATAATTCATGTACACATTGTGCTTTTCTGTTCACTCCCGCTTTTACTGAATTTCAGAATGTGGATTTATCAATGATGAAATATTTGTTGAGCTGGTCAACGCACTTGGTCAATATAGTGATGATGATGATGATGATGATGGAGATGACAATCCTGATGAAAGAGATGACAAGCAAAAAGATCGAGAAGGTAACAGGATGGGTATGTCTGTCTGCAGACTTTAAAAATCACGACATAAAATCCTTTTCTTTACTCACTTGGTAAATTAAATTTGTTCAAACCTTTCTGCTTGATAGTTTTCAGACCTAAAGTTGCATCATTTTCTTCATCATTTCCTTTGCCATTTAGTTCAAGATTTCCATAAGGAATGCTAAGAAAAGTGCTGTTGCCAATTTATGTTTCTCTGCATACAGAGACAGTCAAGTGCTCAAAAATCTGTAAGGTATCTCATAAATGCTTTTGTACTGCTCAGAAAGTAAAATAATAATATCCTAAAGTTGGCAAAGTTCTGAACTGCCATCTCCATCTGCTGGTGAAATAATGGTTTGACCAAATCTTACAAGTACAATCCTGTCAGTAGGAAAGATCACTTTAAGCAGTTTAATCCAATTCTCCATAATTTAGAAATAAAAAACTTTGTTTCTTTTTTTTATTAGGATTTTGGAGAAGTTCCTCTTTCTCTCAACACCTCCTTGAAGTAGCAACGGAGCAGAAATATAATTTTTTTGTTTTCCATATTTTTCTTCTTTCTTTGACAGAGAAAGAAAGCCACCCACCTCGGAAATTTCCTTCTGACAAGATATTTGAAGCCATTTCCTCAATGTTTCCAGACAAGGGTACAGCAGAAGAACTGAAAGAAAAGTAAGACAGGATTTCTTCTAGGATGTATTGTTGTGTTGCATTATAAAGCATGAATTTATTGACTCTGTTAAATATTTGATGATCAGGAGTGATCCTCCCTGCTTCTAGGTTTCATGGCAGTTGATATGCAACTGATACTGGAAGGAAATTGGCTACATTAGGCAAGACTAAAGAGAGACTCTTCCTTCCAACTGAATCAATCAAGAGGGGTTGCATTAGCCTTCCTTGCAAACAATCAAAATGTGGGTGCCTGTGGGTGCTTAATAATGAATGTCATTCTTTTGAGTTGGGAAAGTAAAAGGTGCTCTTACAAAAGTCTCCTTTTGGGAATTGAAGTTCTAGGAAGTAAATGCTGTCTTTCCTAACAATTTTATATTTGTGTTAATGAGTATGGAATTAATAACTTGTTCATCAGCATCACTGACATGACATACTGTTACCTTTCTAACACTGTTACCTTTTCTCTCTCTCTCTCTTTTTTTTTTTTTTTTACTTTGTCACTGAAAACGTGGAGTGATGCTGCAGTCAAAAATTTCATCTTTTTATTATACTGAATAAATAACTTCCATTTATTTCTTCCAAGATACAAAGAGCTCACAGAGCAGCAGCTTCCAGGAGCTCTTCCTCCTGAATGCACACCAAACATAGATGGACCAAATGCTAAATCTGTTCAGAGGGAGCAGAGCCTGCACTCCTTTCACACGCTCTTCTGTAGGCGCTGTTTTAAATATGATTGCTTCTTACATCGTAAGTACAATTGCAGCGGGCTTGTACATCTCTTGCTTTTTGGAACTGAGGAAACTTAAAAGTGCTGTAGGATGGAATACAGAACAAGAGAATAAAAAATATACGCAAGTTTCTTTTATGAACTTTGCAGATATTAGTGCTTTTATCAACATCATTTTGCAGTGAATTTTATATCTCAAAAAACTGAATGCCCCTGTTAGGGGTAGTTTGATATCCTTTTGCATTTAGGAATTTCCATAGAATGCTTGACTTGGTCCAACCTGTTGCTACTTCTCTTTTTATATTCTTGCCAGAAAACTACCTTGTCTTCCAGCACTGTCTCTGTGTTACACTTATACTGTTTGTGCAGAGAAACTGAGAACGGAATATATTTCTCCATAAAAATATCTGGTTGTTCTTCAGGCTTGCTTAATTTTCCAGCAGAGAAGCTGAATATCTATGAGTAGTTTTATCTTTTTTTATTTTTTATTTCTTTCTTCCCCCCACCCCCACCCCCTTACTTTCTAACCACTTTGCCTCTCTGTGGTGATTTGAAGAGGAATTGTTTCACATGGTTCAGTTTTAGAAAGTGTGATAGCCTTTCCATTGAATTCCCTTTCATGTTACCCCATTCTTTTGGGGGAAATAGTAAACAAGAGTGTTAGCAAGGATATTGGTTTCCATTTGAAAATGAGAAGAGATTCTAAAGTACTCTTTGAGACTATTCTTTCTCTGAGAACTGAGTCAAATGTAAAGGGGAGCCTAACAGTCAAATACAAAGTGGTTTAGACTTGCAGTTGAATGCTATCATCTTCTCCATTTCAAATTAATTTTCTCTCTTGACTGAGTGGCTCTTGTGGATGTTCCACTGTGACTGTGCAGACATGTTACTTATTTGGAAATATTTGTGCTTTGTCAGCAGCTATTCATTCAGCATGCGTGCATTCTCACTGTGCTTGTACTTTACACTGAAGGCTTTACATAGTGCTGCTGCTTTTTAGTATCTGTTAGTTGCCTTTCAGTTTGAGGAGGAATTGGAGTTGTGCTCGTAGCGGAAAAAAGCTTTTACTCTTCCTAGTTTCTTTAGTGCTTGTAGCTTTTGGAGTTTGGTCAGTAAGTTTCACTTCTTACCTACGTTCTGTTGGCAGCCCTTGCTGGAAATACAACCCCAAAAGCTCTTATCTGTCAATAATGTTTAAGAACAGAAAGATGTTTCTGGAGGTAGAGCTGCTGCCTTGACCAACCAGCTTCAATATTATGTCCTGTGAAGCTATACGTATTGTTAAAAGCATCTTTGTCGGATGACTCATTCCAAGGAAGTGCTCTGTAGGCAGTCTTCATCTGTAGGACAGGGAAGCAAAGATGTATGCTATCTCTTGGTAAAACCCTTAGGCTGGTGTTTTCAGAAGTTCTTGGCACTCGTGATAGTCTACCAGGGAATTTACGTGCCAGTCCAGTTTTCCTTCTTTAAAAAGATTTTGTTTTTTAAATCAACAAGAAGGCATCGCTCAAACTTAGTGTGTGGGTTCTTTTTTTTTCCTGTTACACCTAGAATTTTTTTTTTTTTTTTAGGGCTTCTGGAGCAGTGGTTTCAGCAATTTTGCATAGTATTTTATAAACTCATAAGAGTTTTCCAGTGTAGACAGAGGTTCCTTTAAAAATACATATATATTTGGTTACTTAGGTAACTTACATGGATTTCACTTTCCTGGTCGCCTTCTGCAGGTCCTTAGAAATAGAACTGAAGTAGGCATGATGTGTCTGCTACTCTAGGGAGCCTGATATTGTCAGTCCATAGCTTTCAGGGACCAACTCTGAGACCTCTTTTTAATGCTGCAGAGGGCTGGTTCATAGTGTTCATTTTGCCATGCTTTTAAGCGCAAGAGCCAACCCGTGATACAGTCCAGAATCATGTTACTAATCCTTTATGGGACCTCAGCCCTCACAGTAGCAGCATCCTTTGAGCCAAAAGTATTGTGCTCTCTTTCTCTCTATTCATGTTCTTCAGATGGAAAACAAAGTCTTTCTTCTTAAAGATTGCCTATGTTCTTGCTGCTGCTGATTTTATTAGGTCCCTTAAATGAGTCAGTGTTCATTCCAAAGTGGTTTGTGTCCAAGGCTTCGTTTTAAGTCATGCCTTCTAGTTAGAAAGGACTAAATAAGCAATCTCTTTAGATTTTTGGGGCCATAGTAGAAAGAAGGGGAAAAAAATCATGCTTTTGCTGAGGAGACAGTTTAAATGCACCTTTGTTTCAAGACAACGTGAAATAACTTAAGCAGATCATGCAGCATGTGCAGTGTCACTGATGAAAACATATTTGATAATTGTGAAGATAACTCTTGAAGCTTTATTCACACATTCACTATATAGTTTATTTATGAAGCCTTCAGATTGGACACTGAATTTATCAAACTGATGCTTCAGTCACCATTTCCTGAATGCATATTGAGATCCCACCTCTGCTATGACTGGTCACTGCTCTGGATGCATCACTTCCTTCTGTTCTTCTCTATAATAACACCTAAAAAACAGGATTTACGATATATTCTTTGAGTGAATAAGAGCTAGGAATTTGTTAAGAACTGAGAAATTCAGTTGTGTGATCTCTTCACTTTCTGTGAAGTTTCCAAACTATTAGTCCACATCCACCAACTTTATTGCTGGGAATGAGTAAGTCATCAAGAAAAAACTACATTAGTAATCAGAAGGCTGCACTAGCAGTTTTCAGTGTCTCTGAAACAACATCACTGTCTTTTAAACAAAGTCGATACGTTCCTGCTAGCAACCTAATCAATTACCCACATGTTCTACTTCATGCAATTGCCAAGCACTGCAGGATGATGTCCTGGTTTCCACAGATGACGTGGATGAATTGTCTTGGTAAAATGTGGTTGGCTACAGCAATCGCATTTCTAACTTGAGAGGCCCTAATCTCTGGAGGAGGCATAGAGAATAAAAAACACAAGGATTCTGTTAGTTCTATTTTTGGCTTTGTAATGTCTCCTCTTAGATTCCCTTTTGGTTAAGATTAGCCTTATTTTATGTAGTTTTAAATCTTTATTCTAGAAAGTTTGAGTTAAATATTGAAAAAGTTATCAGATTTTTAACATGTCACATCCCCTTGATGAGCTAGCAATCCCTTTATGTGCAGGTGATGACATTACTGAAAAACTTATGTATCAACTTAGTTTACTGACAGCAAGGAGTTATGCTTAAGTGTCTGGACTAACAAAAAATTTAGAAGAAAGAAAAATATCGGGTAGGGAGAATTTCCCAAATAGCTTGACTGTGAAGCAAATATACGTTTCAGGCTGAACTATTGCCTGTGTACTTTCACATTAGGAAAAATAAGAGAATTGAGCCCACTGGGGATATGATACAGGTGACAAATGCAAGGCAAAGCAAAGACAGAAAATGTGCTCAGGGAACCAAATCTGGAATGAATTTCTTAGGGAAACTGAAGAAATAGGCAGTGTAGTTATTTTGGAAATTCTGCAAAATCTTCTTCCCTTTTGAAAAAAACTTGATACTGATGGTTGAAACATTCATAATAGAGCTATACAAGCATAGTTTTATTCCTGGTCCTTTCTTTGCCTCTAAACAAACACCTTGCACAGTTCAGATACATACTGGCTATACTTGTCAATACTATACTGTGTTGGGTGTTTATAAAATAAAGCAATACAAGATAAAGCTGTCAGAATAAATATCAGACATAGCATATTTCTGAGGCATCTCTGGTTTGAAAAAAAAAGTCAGATGTTGGCAGGTTTCAGTGCATTACAAACTAAACATTTTCTAGTCTACAAAAAAAAAAATTTAAAAAATAGCACTAATTTTTAGGACCTTACACAAAAGAATGAGAGAAATGTTTGCATTGGCACTGACATGTAAAATTCTTATTTCTGCACATTGGAGCAGTCTGAGGATCATGGCTTACAAATGCTTTACTGTGTTTTCGCATTGCTGCAAAACCATGTTCTTTATGTTATGAGAGAGGATAAGCCAAGAGAAGTAACTTGAATGAATAAAATGGTAGTCTGTGCAAATTTAAAGATGCTACATTGAAAAACCTACTTTTTGCCCTCACGTTCCAAGGGGGAGAGAGGTCCCTTCCCCTAACTATTGCTTGAAAATTGGAAAAAAAGGTGGAATAATTTGACATTAAATTGTAAGATTTCTTTATTTTGTAACATATTTTATCTGCAGAACATATGAATGCATCAAGGAAGTGTGAAACATTAGAGTGACATGCCATATAAAAGCTCTTAACTGGAATGTGGGGCAAGATAGGAAAGAGG